AAAAAAAAAAAAAAAAAAAAAAAAAAAAAAAGGAGGTGAAAATGGACTCAGGCTGTGGGCCTTTGAAGACCCACTTGTACACTTCCTGGTAGATGTCTCTTCCTAATGGGGAAGGCTCCCTGGGGAATCTAGATAGCTCAGTGAGTCAGAGACCATATCAGAGTAGGTGTTTCCACAGGCAGCTCCAAGAGACGCTTGCAGCTACCCCGTTCCCACCCTGTGTCCTGCAACAGGCTGCAGACAAGAAATATTTTGCCCTCAAATGTGTCTATAATCTATGCGTGGCTCATGTGGCCCTGCCTCTGTGCTGATTCTGTTTGGTCCTGGTTTGCCTGTCTAACCCCATGGATCTTCATGCTCTCCCTTTCTAGAGGCCAGATGGGTTAATGTGTAGAAGAAAACAGATGAGAGCTAAGAGATCCGCACTTAGCAGGGGACCAGGCCAAGCCAGGCTGAGGGGTCCATGGCTCGTGAGTCGGGTGGGGAACATTGCTCAGAACAGCTGTCGGGAGAGACAGCGCAGTGGGGTTTGGAACCCATGGACGCACAGGGTTTGGACGATACTGGCTGGGTCTGGGTTTCCTTAAGTTCCCCCAGAGGTCTTCTAGCCAGCCAAGGGGGCGAAGTCTGGAATAGAGGTTGCAGACTGGATCTGTGGGCCAGGCTTGGCCTAAAGGTACAATAAACATTGTGTGGTTCACACAATACTTCTTTTTCATTTAAATTAGTTGCCAATGTTTTTAAAATAGAAAGACTGATCTTTAAATTTTTACATCTGGATTTCCAGCTTCTTGTGAAAAGCAGTAATGGGCCTCCATGGGTGGTCAGCTAGAATTGCTGGCTCCTTTAGAAAGGATGTTTTCAGTGTGTAAGGGCTAGCAGGAGCTGCCTGCTCACGGGAAGCAGTGTCAATAGGCAGTCAGGAGGCCCCACGCTGTGACAGTGAAAGCATCTCCTTCAGAGCTCCTCAGGCCTTTAACAGGAGGCCAGGCTTGGCTCAGGGCTGGCAGAAAGAGGCAATTGTGGACTTCCCTGGTGGCGCAGTGGTTGGGAGTCCTCCTGCCAGGGCAGGGGACACGGGTTTGAGCCCTGGTCCATGAAGATCCCACATGCCGCGGAGCAGCTAAGCCCGTGCACAACTACTGAGTCTGCGCTCTAGAGCCCATGAGCCACAACTACTAGAGCCCATGCTCTACAGCAAGAGAACCCTCCGCAATGAGAAGCCCGCTCACTGCAACAAGAGTAGTCCCCACTCACCGCAACTAGAGAAAGCCCGTGCATAGCAACAAAGACCCGACGGAGCCAAAAATAAAGACCCGACGGAGACAAAAATAAAGACCCAACGGAGACAAAAATAAAGACCCAACGGAGCCAAAAATAAAGACCCGATGGAGTCAAAAATAAAGTAAATTAATTAAAAAAAAAAACAAAACAGAAAGAGGTGATTGTTTGCCTCCATTCTCTGCCTTAAGGACGTGAGTCATGCTTGCTCCTACCATGAGCCCTGGGGCCCAGGATATCACAGTCTAACCAGGCAAGTCTCTGCCTATCCCCAGTTCAGAGGACACTTACGTATGTACTCCACGCTATATATAGATGGCATCACATCAGCATTGTGATGCAAGAATTAAGCGTCTTTTCAAACAGTATCAAGCAGATTTCCGGAAAGCATTACCATGTGCAGAACATTCAATGTGGCCTTTAGAGCTGGCAACCCAATGATCTCCAGTTCAGGCACCACCAAGCCCAGAGAACACATGAGTGGGAGCGGAGCCTCAAATGCCTATGACATGAACTCAGAATTCTCCAGGAAAGGACTGCACACTCCTTTCATTTTACCCTTGAAAGGCTGAGAGAATACAGTCAAAGTTATGGGCATAACAATAACTTGGTTAAGTTCAGGAAGATCTTTCAACCCCAGAGGTAGCAAATAAGAGCTACTGCACTCCAGAAGATAGCAAGCCAACACGTTCACCTCTACGGTACATGCAAACCACACGACTGCTACCTCGGCCACAGCACACAAGAAAGAAGATTTAGAATCAATGGGATATAAGGGGCAGTTGAGCTTAAGACTTTTTTAAAAGTCTAAAATCCAGTCTATGGGATAATGCTTAGAAGGATAAGACAACCTCAGAGAGCTCAGGCACCACGATGGGGCCATTTTCTGACCTCCGATCTTGTGGTTACTCAGCAGGCACTGCCTTCCTGAAATATCAGCCTTCTGCCGTTTTTCTGACATGTTCCCTTCCACATGCAAATTTTCTTGGTCTCTGTCTACGTTTTTTTTTTTTTTTTTTTTTTACAGACAGCCCCTCCCTCATCTTCCTCCCTGGTCCCCACCCCAGAACCGCATCTTTTGCTGTCTTGAAAATATAATCTAGTGGGTTGTCCCATGCACTCTTGTGAAAATGCTCTTGTGCCATTTGAGATTTTTCCATCAGGCTATTTTCTTTCCTGGGTCTTCAAAAGAAAGATTCAACTTTTAAGAGTAAATAAAAAGAAAGATTCACTCCTGTTGCTACTCGGATTTCCAGGGAATACGATAAGCAAGAGAAATGGCATACCATTTAAACAGAAAATCAAATGGGGCCAAGAATGTGGTAACTTATTAATCAGCAATGAAAGGATAAACTAATAGCAGCTTCCAAGCTGTCAGAACTAGTTTCTACAAAGACATTTGCATTAAAATATTGATTTTAAAAGAAGTTCTTCAAATGCACTCAAAGCTAAGAAACACCTAGAAACTAAGATATTTACCCCAAGACAAAAGGTCATATTCAAAGCCTCTGTTCATTACTATGCTGTGGAGAAACAATTTGAATTTTATGCTGACCAAAGCGATTAAAAAAAAAAGGTTAGCGCTTGGGGGATGGGGGAGGGAGATTATAAGCAGTCTTCTAATTGAACCCACTCATTTTAAGAAATGGACTTTCATTCCTTAAATAATTAGTGAGCACCTTTTATGTGCCAAGTACTATACCAGGACCTACAAAGCATACACACACAAACTTCAGTCATGGTTTATTTTTCAAAATAACTGAAGTGCAAATATGATGCAAGTTAAGGAAATTAGATATACTAGAGTTCATAAAATAAAATTTCTAATTAGCATCTCAACAGATTCTGAAAAGACTTTTGATAAAAATTCAACACCGCTTCCTAAAAATTGCAGCTCGTTATTTACAATGGGGTCAGACTGTTCAAGAAGAGTCAGTTCAATTATAATACTTTTGCTAAAAAAAATAGTAAAAAAGGTCTAAGTGATAGTAAAGACAACGATACAGCAAAATTTAAAAGTGGGAAAAAAACTCACTCTATGACGTTAAGCATAGAAAAGCTGAGGACTAAATCATATCTCTGGTGCAAATAGTGTTTTGTATATTATATGTACATATAACAAAAAGGCCCAAAGAGAAACAAGGAGACATTTAAGAGATGTTTCTGAATGGTAGAAGAGCAGCTAATTTTTTTCATTTTAATATGTATTAAATTATATTAAAATATTATGTAATATGTGATCGATTTTATCAAAGAAAGCCACACAGAGTGATAAGGAGAAAGAGTGAGGGAAGGAAAGAGGCACAAAATAAGTTAATCGACTTTCGAAAACCCCAGATGCCACTTACAGGGCAAAGGCGACAACAGTGCCATGCCCGAACCGTGGGTTACTTGGTTATGAGGAGTTAGCCAGTTAAGTGTGTCCGGTGTGGTTGGTGTGATAAGATGAGGGGGACATGGCCAGCAGAGAGCTCTGCACTGAACCAGGCCAGGAGAAAGTGCCCTGGGAATCTGTCAAACCAGCCCAACAAGTTATTCCTCCCAGGCCAGCCCTTCCCTGCCCTCCCCCCCTCCGGTTTCACCTGCTGTGTAAACACCACAGGCTAAGCAGCCAACCCTCCCCTCCAGGCAGGACGGGAATGGAAGCAGTGAGCTCTGTAACGTGGACCCAGAAAGGGGCTTGCCCACGTGAGCGGCTGCAGGACCCAAGGCCCTGGGTCCCACCCACCCTTACCTGTTGAAGCATCTCTTCAGCAGCATTGAGTTTCACCTGGTGTCCTTCCAGACACACTTCCAGGTCCCGAATCTTCTCTCCTTGGGCTTCCACTTGGTCTGTGAGGACGCTCACCTGTCCCAGGAAATAAAGCAAGGGTGGAGGCTGGGACCGGCTCCCCGCTGGAGGGGAGCCGTGAAGCCACGCCACTGATTCTTGATGGGAGAAGAGTGGCTGCTGTTTTTGGTGGGTGGTAAGTGGGGGAAGTGTCCTGGATGAAGGGAACCCCGGTTGTTTTCTCACCTGGCCGGGAAGTCCCAGCCACCACCTGGACCAGGTTGGTCACATTTCCTGCTCTTGACAGACTCAGGAGAAAAACACCCAGCAGCCACGAGAGCAGCCTCTGGGCTGGCCTCTGGCTCCTTGTGCCTCTCACAGAGCTCCCTTGGGCAGCCCGACCTCAAGGAATAACTCGGCTGGCTCGCCAGGGCTCCTGCCACCTCATGTGGAAGCGCGATCCAAACTTCTGTGCAGAGTAGCCAATGACCTTACCCCTCTCATCAGGGTGTAAGGACAGCTCACCTATCAGGCGAGGGTTCTGAAGCAATTAAGGAATGTGGGACGTAAAGGGCATGTATTAGCACTGACAAAACTTGGCTGCAGGAAGGTTTTTGTGCTTCACAGGCCAAAACATGACTAAGTCATAAATATACACAAGCCACGCTGCATATACAGTGGCAGGAAAACAGTCGTCTTTCTGAAGAACATCGAGACTATCTCTTGGAATTGTTAGCAAATAAAAATCCATTTACGATAAATCATTTAAATTATACCCTAAATACAGACTGAGAAGATTTTCAAAGCCTCTATCAGCAAACAGCCTTTGCCTTATTATTATTAATCCTTTTCCGTATTACTATTAAATAATTATTATTAAAAGGTGCCTCAGAGCAGGAAGAGGAAGAAAGCATGAGTGACCTCCCCCCCGAAATAAAGAAATCAAGGACTGGTAAACTGAGATCCTTTATAGCCTTTTGGTTTCTAACCAATGGTTGACTCATCACCATTTACATATAGATGATCATAAATTATTTCTCAGTCTGTAAAGGAATGATAGCTGGAGCATGAGTTAATGTGAATTCACTTATGCATGCTTAAATAAAGTTATGAATTATAAAGCTCCCTTTTACAGAGGCACTAATCTTAATGAATATGGCTGCTTTAAGCTTTCCATTTTTATGTTCCTAAGTGATTAATGAATTATTGAAACATACTCCTGGAGCTGATGCATGGTGTGCTACCATTTCAATTATAATCCAAAAATGGGCGTCTTATCCTCGCTGCCTAACGCGATCAGCCGTCCTGGCCTTTTCAACTACTAACTCTAATCTCAAAAGAGTAGGATGCCAGGGGTGGCCTTTGCTGCCTGGGTTCCAGAGTTTCTGTTGGGGATGTGTCATGGTTAATCTTACTGGGATGATTAACACTTAGAGAGTCTGCACCACGCCTTGGGGCCATGGGCTGGCGATACCCAGCGGAATAGGTACCCAGACCCCAGACGAATAACGTGGTCTCCGGCATTCTATATAGCTCATAGCCCAGCTGCTCTTAAGACTCGAGATACACCGGGTTATGGGGTCCTTATGAACGTGAATACTCAGTCTAGGTTATGAATGTAGAGGTGTAGAAAATTGGGAGAAAATGTATAAAGGTTCTAAATGTGACCTTTATTCAAGAAAAAATATTTTCTGAGCCCCTACCACATGCTAGGCATAATTTTAAAAACCGAGGGGATACAGAAGTGGGGGAAAAAGAAAAAGATGAAAATCCTTGCATTAAGAAGTCACATTCTAATGAAGAAATACAAGATTTTGGTTTTATTTATTGTTTAATCCTGAAAACAGTATTTTGCCCTGTGTGATTTCCCTTGTTCTTCCACAAGTAAACCCAGGAGAACATTCTGGGCCAAGGGCTCCAATGAATTCGGTCTGGCTGAGCTGTCTTGTGAATTAATCAAGTAAGTGGCCCCCCGACTCTGAGGATCTGTCTAACCTGCTCCGTGAAGCCTCTAGAGACAGCAGTGAGCACGTAAGAGCAGCTCTGAGAGTCTGTCCACAAGCTCCTGGAGGGACAGAAACCATTAGGATCCACTTCTGACTTTACTGATAAGCAGCTCTCCAGTTGTGCTAGAATCATTAAGGATTATTCAAGAATTCAGAATTTTTACAATATCAGAGAGATTATCACACAGGAATTCTTTATTAAATTGTAACCCTCTAAATAGAAATGTCTCATTTCAGCCATGAAGGTTCTGGGTTCATTCGTCTGTAGCTTGATACTGTTTGTGGCAAAATTCTAAACTGGACGCTCTTCCATCAGTTGTGTCATTGGGATGGAGGTTCCAATTACACATCCCGCAAAGTGTCTGCACTGTAACGTGCTATATAACCTGGCCCCTGCTACCTCTCAGTAGGCAGTTCCCAGGCTTCTCAGGGTCACCAGCTCCAACCACACAGCCCCTTCCTGTTCTTTCCACACGCCAAGCACATGCCTACCTCAAGGTGCTCGCTGGACCAGCCACCTCCTCTGCCTGGCACGTGCTTCTCCCAGTCTCTATGGGGCTCCCTCCCCAGCTCCTTAAGTCTCCTCCTATCGGGGAGGTCTTCCCTGACCACACAGTCCTATCCTGCTTTATTTTTTTCCATAGCATTTATCATCACTGGAAACATTTTGTGAATTGGTTTATCATACATGTACGTGCGCGCGTGCACACACACACACACACGAATGGAAGCTTGAGAACAGGGACTTAGTCTATTTTCTTCACTGCTACAACCCCAGCACCTAAAACCAGTATCCACTGAGTTGTGGGCATGCAAATAGTTTTTAATGAACAAATCAATGAAGTGAAGAAAAAAAAAAAAACCTAGGATACAAAATTGTGTAATTGTATATTTGGTCTGAGCTTAATTTTTTAAAATAGGGGCAGGACAGAAAAAAAGAAAAGGACTGGAAGAAAGGGCTAACATGTTAAATTCTTTTTGACTTTCCAAAGTTTCTAAAATAATCAGATATTATACCTACATTCATAAAATGAAGTGAAATGAATAAAAGAAATAAGGTAAAACAGAAGGAAAAAAGCCAAACATACTGCAGCCTCTTAACTCTAGTGCTCTAAGCTAAGGCCCATAGTCTAGGGAGGATCCCAGAACCCTCCCTGCCCCCTCGCTTCCATCCCACTTACCAGTCTTAATCACCACCCTTCAAGCTTTTTAAGGAGCTGGGATTAGGACATTAGTCTTATTATTCTCTAAATTGTCAATCACAGTGTCTGAGGCATACCAGACCTTGAGGCTTGGTTCATGTGTTTGAGAACTAACACAGCAAAGGGCTCCTACCTCAGCCAAAAGGATCCCACGAGAAAGATCAACTTTTCAGAATGCAATGCAAGTTTTCAGACCTGAAACTACGTCTTTGTCAAGTTTTGGAGTTCCTTTCTTCAAAGTAAGAGAGTCATCAAAGGCTTATTAACCCATGTTAACAGCTCCAGGGGGGTTGGCCTCAAAGTGATCAGTCTCGATCCAGCTCCGGATGAACTGGGCCTGATCCTGTTAGCATCCACCCTGGGGCTTTTTAAGAGGCTTTTCTGTATTAGTGACATGAGGACACATCTCCTTTGCAAGACTTCTGGAAGACAGGGCCCCATTAATCAGCCTGGCCACAGAGCTTCCAGTGTATAGATGCAGATACTCTTGTAGTCCGTGATAAATAAATGAATCCATTCACAGCCCCCAAAAGCCAAGGCCAGAGTTAAACTGTGCCCCCAGTTACTTTCTCCTTTGTTTCAGGAAAAGTCTTTTGAAAAACATACACTTTGGGAGCAGGAAACATCCAACAGAGAAAACCCTTTGGACTTCCCTCCTACTTAAGGCAGCTACAGAGCTGGAGGTAACAGAAAAAGCTGGTTCCCACCAAAAAGGACCCACCTGTAATATGAGGGACTCCTTATCTCCTTCTAGACGTGCTAAGCGTTCCTGGTACGTTTCATTACTAGCAGCACTGTGGTGATTTACCTGGGACTAAAGGGAAGAGGAAAAAAACACACACTTAAAAGGCTGGAAAAACATCTTACCAACTTCCAAATGAAGTATGCAATTGGTGAGGTCAGTTTCGCTCATTATCTATGCAAAACCACCCACCTAAACAGGAAACCACAGGATTTCAAAACTACTACAAGGAGGACCAGATCAGATGCCACTGATAGGCATGCCATAAAAGGTGGCAAAAACCACCCCCTGGGTGACCTCACCTTTGGCTAGAAAGGCCTTGGTGGAACTCCAGACCCGGCGGTGCTTGGCGTGACTGGGCGTGTTGGGTCTGGTTTAGCTGGAGGCACAGCCGGCCAGAAGCACCAGTAGCAATAAGGGTCTACTCTTTGAGACCAGGGAGCTGGTACCATGCACTGAGGAACTATATGGGAACAACTCCTGCACAGATCTTGTCTCCTGACTCTCACGCCAAAGTTCTCCAGAGCCGAGGCACACCTCACGGCGTGGAGGCCCATCCTGAACATGGCAGGGAGCCTGGAGGATGAGGGATGCCAAACGGAAGGCCCTTCATCTACTCGCACATCCCTTTCAGAAGTGGCCGATCGTACCCCTCAATAAGGGCTCTGGCAACCAGGGTGGCACGTGGAGTTGCTGCAGTGTTAGAGCTGAGAGGAATAAGCTAAGATGAAACGTCTTGAGAAGAACCCAAATGACAGCCAGAGGGATCTCAAGGGCCAAGCAGAGGGAAAACACAGGAAATACCAAGTAGTCGGAAACCATGGAAAACAGAGGAAAGGGAGATTTGAGATGGCAGTTGAGAGGCAAAGCTTATAAAATGCCCTGAGCTAGAGACAGGAGCTGCAGTCACTTCCTGGGTGTGTCTGCCCTGGCTGTAGGCAGGGAGGAGGGAGGTAGCTGCTAATGGAACTGAACTGGCCCAGTGCTACGACTACACCCTTCTTCCACGAGGAATTTAAGGGCCCAAACCAGAGGCGCACAGTAGGCCATCCAGGGGCTCAGTGGTCTGAAAAAGCAGATCTTATTGCTAAACGGGGAAATGACACTCCTTGACACCTGGGCTGGTCCAAAGGAGTCAATGCTCCAATGATCATAAGGCGGGTATCCTATATCCCAAAGGAAAGTCACGATTGTAAAAGGAGAATGTCAGAGAGTAGACCAGGCACAGAGAAGGGCCCAGAGGTGGTCCCCTTCTCCCGAGCCCATTTCGCCACATTCCAACCTTCAGAATGGGCTTTCCAACCACACCCCACCTGCCTCATTAGGAAAAGATACCTCCTGCCTTCCCTCGTCCCATCCCTTCCCCAGTGCACTGCCTAGGTGAGGGCAGGTGGCAGAGCCAGGCCTGGTTCCAAAAAGAAACAGGGAGCAAGAAATCTGCATTCCAGCCGTGGAGCGTCACCTGTGAGGGAAGCACTGGCTGTCTGTTGATGGTGCAGCGGGAGGGTGAGCCCAGGGGCCACTTCCCAGGGCAGCTGTGCCAGGCACAGGCCAGACGGACAGGGCACCCCTGCCATTCCCCTGCCTTTTCGTCTAGTCCCTCTCCAGTCTGCATCTTGTTCAGTGTTAGGGAAGCTCTTTCATACCATAAACAAAGGGCCTTAGCAATCACTAATGGCTTCTTTGTGTTGATGGTGGTTTATTATTGTTCCATTAATTAATATTCCAGTCATCACACGGTCAAACACTGACTAGTATCCAAAGATATAATTAGAACCTACATTTCTCAGAGCCTAACAAGAAAAGAAAGGAAATAGCTCTTAAGCAGCAGGTCAATTGCTTCTCTGTCCAAGAACTCACATGATGGTGACTTTCAGAGGAGAGAGACTGAGAACAGAAAGGACCCAGGCACCCAAGTGAAGCTGTGTGGATCCAGCGCCAGTGCCAAAGTCAGCACATGCACAGGGCCACCCACCACTGGCAGCTGGTACTTCTCCAGCAGGAGGCGAAGGGAAGGCTCCTTCCACAAGACTCCGGCCAGCTACCGCACCACCTGGGCCTCAGTCAAATGGAGGGCAGTGTGTTCGTACGATAAAAGACCTACCCACGCAATCACCCAGAGAGGCAGCTAGTTGACCAAAAAAAAAAGAGGAAGGAAGGAAGTTGATATCGTAAGTTCAGTTAACTTACGTGCCATAGAGTCTATAACACATGGTAGAAGTAGATTAAAATAAAAACTGAATCTACTCTAGCAGCCAATGGAAAAAGGGAAGCACAACTGAGTTAAAAGATGCACAGATCAGTATGACAAAGTCAAGCTAACTGCCTAGGAGAAGCACAGCTCTTCCTAAGGAAGGGAGAACCATCCCTTGTTTCCACAGAGAGACTTTGCGTAGTGGGATAAACAACATTCGGGATGATACCCTCACAGTAAACAGAGCCCAGCAGAACTCACTGCTTTCCTGTGATGTTCTCAAAATAGGTCAAAGGTTAGTGGATAACGTGGGCCAAAAACCAAAGCAATTCTATGGAGACCAATACAATGTGGTCCAAGTACCGTGCTCTAGACACAAAGTGGGCACTTAGGCAGCGCTCACCATGTGCCAAGCACTGTCGAGAGCACTTTACGTATATTAATTCATTTAATCCTTCCCACAGCTCTGCTAGATAGGTACTATTTTTATTCTAATTTTACACTTAAAGGAACTGAGACACAAAGTATACGAACAAGGCACAAATGGATTATTTGCCCAAGTTACCATGTACGAAACCAGTAGGCTCTCTGTTACAGCTTGAGGAACAGATCAGTATAAATTTTGTTTTATACATTGTGATTGTATGAAAGTTCACTTAAAATAAGGTGTAAAAATGCTGTCTGAACCTAAACATCCATTAATAGAGGAGTGGATAAACTGTGGCTCACCCATATTATGGACAATTTGTAGTATTTTAACATGAGGCGGATTTTTATGAACCATCATAGAAATACAAGACATATTGCATAGTGAAAGCAGCAAGATGCAGAGAATCACATGGTGTGACACTAGAGAACAGTACCATCCAGCTCCGCAAGTACTGATGTATCTATGAAGGTAAACAGATCCAGTGTCTGGAAGGCTACAGAACAACCCTCAACAGTGCTCTCTTCTGGGGAAGTTTCTGGGCTACGAAAAGTTGGGAGTGGGAGGTTTGTTCAAGAGGGGCTTTAACTATAACATTTGAGCTTCTTATAAAAATATGTTTGTGCTTCCCTGGTGGCACAGTGGTTGAGAGTCCACCTGCCGATGCAGGGGATGTGGGTTTGTGCCCCGGTCCTGGAAGATCCCACATGCCGCGGAGCGGCTGGCCCCGTGAGCCATGGTCGCTGAGCCTGCGTGTCTGGAGCCTGTGCTCCGCAATGGGAGAGGCCACAGCAGTGAGAGGCCCGCGTACGGCAAAAAAAAAAAAAAAAAAAAAAAAAAAGTTTATTTACTTGAGTAATTAAAATATATTTTAAAATCTAGAAGCACCGTTTGAGTAGCTAGAACAGTTCTTGGTGCTTTTTTCCTCCCCTAACAGACTTGAGGGGCACATCCTTTCCCAGCAGTCACACTGGCCCATGTGGCAGTGCTGCATGTGGCAGAAAAGTGCCTCCCTTGACCCAAATCACCATTGTAGACGAGCAGGGCATCTTCCTCTCATACAGTTGGCCAAAATCACTGCTGTTCTCTAGCAAGCTTTTGAAAGGTATTAAACAACAGTGAGATGGAAGCAATATCCCAGAAAGAAGTCTGCCACATCGTTATCCCTTGCTTTTGGCGAAGTTCAGAGTCCTGTGTTTTCACATTCTACAGAAGATGGACAGCTCTCAAGAAAACTGCACTCAAGCCTTAGCTGGTCACAGACCAGGATAAAACACACCTCTGCTTGAAGAACCTGGAAAGCAACTGAGAACAGGGCCAAGAAGAACATCTTGTTGAATGCCAACATTTATCAGCCAAAGGTGAGGATTTGAGTTTTGAGTGAATAAATGCATACTCCTTATTCCAGTAACTGGGCAACAGGTTCAGTCACTTTTGGGCATCATTATTGGATTATAAAATGGCTGTATCATCAGGGCATAAAAGGCCAGAAGGTTATGAAAATGATTGATAAACATGTTTAAAAAGACAGAGTCGGGACATAGCTCTGTTTTGCCTGACTTTCAGAAGAGCTTGCTTTCTCACAGGCTACACCTGCTTCCTTAATTCTAACAGTGGAATTGTAGTAGAAGTCTGGGATCAATACTGAGATCATCAACTGGGTCCCTGAGTGATTCCAGGTTTGGGAGTCTCTGAAAAGTCTTGTCCGTATTCTCTATCAGGTAACTTGGTGATAGAGCAGTTGCCCAGCTCTCCATGCATAAAGTCAGATGGAGAGAACCATGCCAGCATTCCACCGAGGAGGAGAAAGTCACACAGAATTCTGAAGGATGCTACGTGCTAAGTTTCGATTCCTCCCCGCTCTGGGATGGCAAGTGATCTAAAGGAGAGTTCTATACTGTTCTACCCTGTTAAGGATGCTCAACCCACTGATAAATATAAATTAAAAAGAGGTCATTTTTACTCAACTAATGATGTTAAGCCCCTAGGCTAGACCTGTACAGTGGACTTCTGATGTACTAAGGTGTGATATACATACATTTGATCAAATTTTTCTCTTCTGTTTTGATGGTTATTTCTACAAATGTGACAGAGGGAAAAATGAATCTTCTCATCCAAACTTTCCATCGTCAAAGCTATGCCTGAAACTATAATTCACGTTAGTTACCTGATATAATATTGCGTGAGACCAAGAGATATTGTGAAGGCCAGGGATCTGCGTACCCTATGGAGGTGAAATGGCAACTACAGATCGACATTTCCACGTCCTCTTGCAGCGCTTATTGAAGAACGCCACAGTGAAACATACTCCCTCTCTCTTATATCACAGAACTAAATCAGCACAGGGAGTTCTTTTTGTGTGTATATTGTCAATAACTCAGAAACTTTAGCCAGACTACTGAAGTTAAACCCCCTTTGCTTCTACCAAATTTTACCCTCAAGAGGCTGGAC